TGCTCAGAGGCATAATCACCCTCCTGGAGCTGATTTTAGTTTTTAAGTGTGACAATTATTTGGAAAGATTCTAAATTCATTGTTAGTGTTTTTCCACCAAAGCTGAACCTTCCCAACCTTTCCAGATACGTGGCATCACCAGCATTCACATAATAACCTGAAACTAAAACTCAGATATCCTTCAGTTATAGGGTGATGCAAAGGCTGAAATATTTCATAGGACAGATTAGGGAAGCGTACATACTTGGGGCCAGAGAACAAAAAGAGTCTGACTCAGAGCTGAACGCTGTATCATGTCATTTCTAGGTTTTGTTTCCTTAACACACATTGAAGCAATTAACTAAATCCTCAGGACGTTCTCAGAAGCAAATTCAATTGCCTTCCTCAAGAGCAAGGGCAAGACCACATCTGTAATCTATTTCAGAGGTCTTACATATTGATTGAGTATATATCTTTGGGATACTTTAAGTGAAAGAAAAATAAGGTCACTTGCTTTACATATTCTTTAAAGGAAAATACTGTTGACAGACTTTTTTTCCGTGCTTCTACCAGGAAAAAAGCACTCTATGTTTACATACACAATAAGACGCCAGCAGCTTCCTGAGATGACATCTCTATTTAATTTAATTATTAAAAAAGTATCTTAAAATGTCATATTTCTGATATTTAAGACCCACGGTCCATCTCAACTTTGTAGTAAGTATTTAACTTTCTGATCAAAAAGAAAAGGGGTACCTTGCTACAGTTTGTTTTGTAACACATCGCAGACAATGTATTTCCAGGAAAGAAGCTGGATTCTTCTTGACAAGAATAGAGCCAACATAATTTCTAGTTTGGTTCTCTTCTGTTTCTATCACTATTGATGAGTAAGACTACAGTTCTGTCACAACCTACAACACTACAATTTTGTCACGAATTAGAAATTCTAATTCAGTGGATTCCCTGCTTCTTAAAAGAAACTGGCAGCACACATCCAAGTCAAATCGGATCAGTATCTCCAGTTCTTCATTCTCTTAGTATTGTTCAGACAAACTGCAGAAAATTAACGTACCAGTGTAGCTCAGCCAATGATTTTTGTGCCTGTGCAAAGCAGGCAAGTAGCACCAAGGTGTAAATTGCAATCTCATTGGAGAAGCAACTCAAAGACCAGTCAAAAAGGATGCATAAAATACTATATAGACATTAAAGCTTTGCGTGGGCAGGGAGCAGGGGGGTGTGGGGGAACAGTCTGCAACATTCCAAGGACATCCATAAAAAAGGTATAATCAATTGAGATATGAGGAAAATATATGGGAAAAAAAAAATAATCAAGAACAACAGAGTATTTTCAAACAAAAACAGAAAACATTTCTGCATACGTAGTATTCCAAAGTACACTCTAGGCAAACATGCTATAAAAAGCCTATTCAGAAAACAGCTTTATATTTTGTTTGTATTAGCCAAGAAATGTGTACTTACTAAGCATCTGTGAAGTCACAAAAATAACCCAAATGAACTGTTAAATATTGCCTTAGGTTTAGCCACACTGCAGCTAAAACAATAGACATTAATGGCCACTACATTCTGAACACTGCGGGAGTACCACACAGTGGCATTCTGAATGGCTCTGGTGAAACCAGGAAGTGTGAAATTATGCCTCTCCAACTTACTGTTTAATCATCATCAATGTCCAAAAGAAACAGCAAAGAAATGGGGGAAATGGATTAGAAATGCATCATTCCTTTTTGGGAAGAAAAAAAAAAAAAAACAGAACAAACAACACAGCTGTTGTTAGTGACAGCTCTATATATGAAAGTCATATATATTAAAAAAAAAAGTTATATAATATGTATAAAAGGGGAACAATGTTCTATCTGGGAACGTGGTGATACATTCAACTTCCGTAAGGAATTTGTTCAGTCAAGTTGGCTATACACTGACAAAGGCAATTGCTAACATTATGGTGCCTGTTCTTGCAGCTAAATATGCCTCAACTTTTAAGGTGAAGTTTCTTCAGTGTGTGAGGAGCGTGGAAAAATACTTCACTGTTATTTTAACCACTTATCATATCGTGCAATCCCTAGTTTAAAAAAGAAGGACTGCAAGGAGAGTCATTTAAGAGAAAGATGGCCTGCTGCAAATCTCCAGGCGAGTGGTGTCTGCTTTCTTGCAGCAGGCCATCAGACATACTCAGAAGTTTTGGGAGGGAACACCTTGCCTGAAGAATGCCACCATCCTTCCCTGCAAAGACAACACAGGGAGGGATAGGCAAGGAGAACGCTTATCACAAGGCGATAAGTGACCTAAGTTACTTCAGTTTTAATCAGCAGGGAGCACCTATCAGCAAAAGAGAGGTCAGGGGTCAGGGAAGAAAGCAATAGGCAAACTCAAAAGCACGGCAGCAGTGCTTTTGTCAATGAAGAGACATTTTTTTGGGTCACACATCGTGAGAATAAACACTGACCTTGCAGTGCTTCCTTTCTCCACACTTGAGGACAATGCACTGGCAAAAAAAAAAAAAGAACCTGAACTCCAGAGCTTCTTCAGCACTGTTTCCAGCACAGTGTATTTCAGCTTTTCACAGGAGCATCAGCAAGTCACAGACACCCCTACATCAGTCTAAGTAAGCAGAAGTCAGTAATGTTTTGTACGTCTGCTGCAAAAGATGACACTAATAGCAGATGGCACTGATAGCCGATTATACTCTTCTTACAGTGCTGCCTCAGGAATGGCAAAGACACAGTGAAGGGTGACAGGCATCGCTGTTTCAGAATCAAGATGTGCTTGTTGTAACTACAAACTATCATTTCCCATCAACAAGTACAAACTAACAGCTTCTCAGCAGTCAAATATTTAACATTTTACATGCTAGCACTGATAATGATTAGCAGATGCCCCACTTTTTCAGAGCTTCCATGAACTCTAATATAATAGATAAAGCCTTTTTTCTCATCTCTTTTCTGAATCTCTGAGCCAAAAAGCTTCAGATGTTTCAGTTAGAATTTGTATTTCGTATACCACGCTCAGTACAGAAGTTCTATCACATTAAAAAGTTGTAATGTGCTACTATCAAGTAGAAGTACCTGATGATTGAAAATCAAAAGTGGGCAAGAAGCTACAGTCAACTCCACAAAACTGTATTAAAAATAGCCCAGGTTATACAGAAGAGTGATTCCTTCAGGTAACCAAACCTCTCTAATGGCTCACATCACAGTATTTATTGATACCAGTGCATCAGGAATGCCCCAATCTGTCACCATAAGCCATAAGAAAGTTTTAGCTTATTCACATAAGGCACTTGCATAGTGACCAGAAAATCAAAAGAATAAAGGCAACACGACTATAAACACAGCTCTATAGACACTCCTTGCTTCAACAGGAGGCAGTGATGAGTTAGTTAATCACAGAATCATAAAGGTTGGAAAAGACCTCCAAAATCACCAAGCCCAACTGTCAACCCAACACCTCTACGCTGCTCAGTGCCACATCCACATGGCTCTTGACCACCTGCAGTGACACTGACCTCACCACCTCCCTGGGCAGCCTGTGCCAGTGCAGAACCACTCTTCCTGAGAAAAAATTCTTCCTGATACTCAACCTGAACCTCCTCTGGCACAACTTGAGGCCGGTACCCCTTCATTTTATCACTGTTACTCAGGAGAAGAGACCAACCCTCACTTCACTGAAACCTCCTTTCAAGTCATTTCAGAAGGCAATAATGTCTCCTGAGCCTCCTCAAAACTGAACAATCCCAGTTCCCTCAGCTGCTCCCCATCAGACTCGTGCTCCAGACCCCATGCAGCTGTGTTACCCTTCTCTGGACACACTCCAGGGCCCCCATGTCTTTCTTGTAGTGAGGAATCCAAAACTGAACACAATGCTCGAGGTGCAGACTCACCACCACAGAGTACAGATCAGCTCCCTGGTCCTGCTGACTGCACAGTTTCTGATACAAAACCACCATGCCATTGGCCTTCTTGGTCACCTAGGCACACTGCTGGCTCAAGTTCAGCTGCCTATTGACCAGCACCTTCAGATCTTTCTCCTCTGTCATACAGCTACAAACAAACATTCCAAAACTTGGAAGCAACATTGGCAGAAAGAATGTAAAACAGTTTTATCTCCACTCAAGATCATTTAGTGCACAGGAGACTACCTGCTTCTAAAAGTCAAATCTGAAGGTCCATGGAGGGAGAGAAAAAAAAAAAAAAAAAAACAAGAAAACCAATCAGACAGCTGAAGGCTGTTATTTTACATTCTACATTCCACAGCTGTAAGAATTCAGAAGTGCACTACTAGTACTTAAAGCCTAGTAACTGAAACAGCCTTTGTATTTTGTCAAGGATATAAAACATTTTTGATTAAATGTTGTGCATTTTTCTTCCTTTTTTGTATGTGGTTTTTTTCTTCCCCAACCTATAAAGCTCTAAAATGTTCGAGGGAAAAAATACAATTTAAAACTATTTGAAATTTTTATCTTCAGCTCCATCCTTTCACAGTATATCAGTCTCCCTCTAGAAATCTGCTTTAAATGTTAGCTAACAATATCTTAAACCAGATCTAATACTGTATTTATCAGGAATCTGTGTCTGAAGGAGAATATATCAAATAATGTAAGCTCAGCTTACAAGAAAAACGAGTAAAAGCTGTTCAATAGGAATACATGAATGAATGAAAGTCTCCCAATATTAGGAATAAAGAGTGAATGTAAGTCTCTCAATATTAGGAATACAAGAGTGAATGTAAGTCTCTCAATATTAGGAATACAAGAGTGAATGTAAGTCTCCCAATATTGGGAATACTTCACGTGAGACATAACTGCAAACCAGAGAGATATACATAAATGCATTCTTCTGCTGAATGTATGCTTTTCAATCTTGCAAAGAGATCAACTATTTTTTAAAGAGGAATCAAAACAAACACACTTTTTAAAAGTTGATATCCAAGCCACGAGAAAACAGGTATGTTCATTTAAAACAATCCATCACCAAAGCTATTGAAACAAAATAAACAAGACCCACAGTAACAGCCGGAATGTCACGAAGCTCCTGTCTTCCTTCTGTCCCCATGTGTTCATTCTGGTAATGTTCAGACAGATCAGTAGGAGTTACACACACTTTCATACAGAGTGGACAGATGAAGCCCTGTGAAATGTATATTTGTCTTTAAGAAACCAATAAAAACAAGAAGATTTTGGAATCAAATAGTGTTCAAATTCTTATGCAGAAAGGTCTTACAATCACTAAAGCAAAGTCTGCAGCTATTTCCTTTTGGATGTTTAATTTTTGCAAACCACGTCTCAATACCATGAAGAAGACAAAAAGGAACAGTTAAGAATGTGAAAATAAATCTAAACCACATGTTAAAAGCTAGTACCATATTGCATACTAGTAAGTCTTTTCCAGACACCCTTGGGACCCCCTTCATATGACAGAGGAATGTGCTGCATAGCAAGTCATGAATGGACCATTATAAGGCATCGCATCAGATCCACCAGGCCGTTTCCCACAGGCATTTTCAGATCCAGAACAGAAAGAGACCAAAATCATCACAGAGACTGCAGAAATACTTCTGTAAATTGGTAAGCAAATTTACAGTAGAATGAGAGGCACAGGCGCAAGTGCAACTGCACAGTCAGTTGGCATTGTCACTTAGGGAAATAGAAACACCATTTTGGCAGAATTGAAGAAAAAAAAAAAAGGGGGGGGGGAGGGAGATGGGAGAGGTAGATTAAACATGCTCACCAGGGATTTACTAAAGCCAAAAGTTAAATGAGTTTCTAAAGAACAGCAGCTTTAGACATGCTGAACCCCCAGAAAAAGCAGACGTGGCACAGCGTGCTGTGGGCGCCCATCCATGCTATGGCTGCGGGACACCTGCACACCTGGAGGCACACCTGCAAAATGGGGTCTTGAGACAGAACTGTCCCACCAATGCAGCCATGTGACACCATAACAGAAGTGTAACTCACAGGTGGACACCCTGCAAACATGGAATATTTAGTGACCCTATACCACACATGGAGTTGCATTGGAATCTAAGATACAAAGGAAGGACAGGCCTGAACTTTTCCTTCTGTCAGGCTGCACAGTGAATAAAAGATACATCGAGAGTTGACTGCAGGCCCATGCGTGATCTGTAGTGGTGACGTGGCCCCAGAAGAAACTAAAACAGGCCTATCTCTTTTGCTGAGCAATGAATAGTTTTAATTTAATCAGCCTCCCTCATTCCTTTTGTTTTATACTGTAATTTTCGAAACTCAGGATTGATTTCAACCTAGTTTGAAGGAGGCATGAAACATGAGAATCTACTCAGATTTAGTAATTATTCATTTGAATCTTACAGCAACACAAATTAGAAAATCTAGCTATAAACTGGAATGAGAGCAAGTCAATTAGATTATTTTTTTGTTTTACGCAATACTGGTGAACCAGGTGGGATCATAACTATATAACCGAGAGCAAACATTCTGCAAAGCCTGGCTACAGTGGTTTGATTTAAGAGTTCTCAGAAAGCAAACACCTCAGACCAGCTGCAAAGGAAAAGCACAACCAAGAGAAAGGCTCAAGCTGCACACAGTGATGCATGGACCTCAGAGAGCAACAAACCATCACCAGCTTCAGAACTCAGATTTGATCAGATTTTGAAGTCACATGCAACACCCTACCTGCAAGCACTGTAGCTGATGGCAGAATTACTGATAACTAAAGATACTTTTATGTTATATATGTGTACAGCATCATCCAGAAGTGACACAGACAGTGATCTGGCTTGAGTTTCAGCAGGGCAGCAAGAACTAAGGGTGCAGTAGTGCAGGCACACCAGCACTTTCAAAGTATGGCTTATGTCAACAAACAACACTACATTAGTATCAAGGTACTTCATGACACCCACCAGCGATATTACAATCATGATAACAGAATTGTTCCATTTTAGCCAAACTTTGGAAAGAAGCAATCATCTCATTGCTTATTTCTATGCTGTAGTTAACTGAAATAGTGACGAGATTTTAGACACGCTTTAAGAATATTTATTCACGTCAGGGACAGTGTAAACATGCATACAAAACTCACAGATGCATGACATGTATAAGATACAGCAATAAATTAAGCCATGTCTGATCATACTGATTGTAACATGGCCTTGAGAACTAAGACATAAGCAGATGCACAGATGGAAGGCAATTAGAATTTTGAACAGCACAGGGAGAAGTTCTCTTATCGCTTATCATAACAGACATACGAGCTTTTGACTCATCATACACTTCATTCAGTGTAAGAAAGGGCACTTTGCTCCCTTTAATGCTGTAACAGGAGTAATTAACCTTGCACTGCATTTGTATGCTAAGCTTGAAACATTCGCAAGCTCAGTAATCAGGCTACATTAGCACAAAATAGCTTCAACAGCCAGTGAAGTCAGCGTGCATTTTTAAAAGTTAATATTTGACAACACTGTAAATCCAAAGACGTTGTAACGTAGGATAGAAGCAAGAATAAGACCTTACTCTGCTGGCTAAGCGTGGCATAAAGCACTTTAGGAAAATGGATAGGACTTACAAATGGCAGCTTTATGTACACAGACCAAACAAAAACCAACACATTTGATATTTCACTTGGAGAAGAAGGTTCCCAAAATACATTATATCTAGCACGTGCAAGGTGAAAAAGAAGTACAGGTGAGTTTTCAAAATTCATTAAACATTTATAAATGAGGATTGTTAAGCTTGTATCTTATTGCTTTTCATTTTAATCATTCATGTCTACGATAACAGGAAGGATTGCCTGTCATCATTTAGATAAACAAACAAAAGTCACATAAATACGGTCTATTCTCACTTTTCTATTTAAATTAGAACCTATTTTTAGACAGTGGCACTTGTAAGTATTTACATAGAACAGCTGCCATTTAGGAGCGGCACTCGAAGGAATGCCCAACAGCTCTGTGGGTCAGAGACAAGCAGACACAAGGTTCACAACTCCAGCCCCACAAATCAGTGCACAGTACCTCAGAGGAGCCCTCATTGTTCACATCCACGGCATTTCCTGGAGCGGCAGATGAATCGGAATCTGAGCTCTGAGACCCAACTCTGCCCGGAGTCTGAAAGAGAAAGGGAGGGGCAAAATGAATGTCTGCAGTCTGTATTTAATAGAGCATGGTACGTAACCTTTACAAAGGCCTCTCTGCAAAAGCACAGATATTTCTTCCGTGAGTGTAACAAAATGAACCAGCTCACCAACTAGTTAGGTAATTTTCAGTGCAACACTTAACAAAACCTTTTATCCGAGACTCTCGAAGCACTCAAAGTATCAAACAACAAGCAGACAGCAAAAGCAAAGGCCAGGATTTTAAACAGAATCTGTTTAAAATCTTAAAATCTCTTACGAACACTCAACACAAAACAAAGATTTAAACTCAAGTCTGCCCTTCTACCACTCAGCCTCCTGTTAAATTAGCTCTCTTCATCCAAGAGGAAAACATCACAAGTTACAATCTGAACATTTTCAGCAGCTGTGGCTGCTGCTTTTACTCGTCTCCAGAACTCCACTGCCTGCCCAATGGCAGAAGAGTTACCATTCTCAAAGCAAACTCCAGCAAATAAATTATCTCAGTACTGATATGCAATCCTAGATTCTACAAAGAATAAAAGTTCATTATCTAATTCCACAAGGACAACTGAAAGTGGGATGAAGTAACACTGCTTCAGCCCAGCCAGAAATATTCATAGCATCGTACAGGGATTTCTGATCTAATACAGGAGGATTAAAGATACAGAAATTTAAACATATAGATGGAAATTTACAGAGAGGGGAGCAGAAGGAAACATTTTTAATTTTTAAATCTTGGTACCTCCAAAAGTTTGCTTGAGAATTTTCTTTCACATATTCTTTCTTTTCAGAACAATCAGTCTGATTGATAACATACCTACAACATGCAAGCTTCTCCATACTTTGAAAATGAAATACTCTTCCCTGCCATGTTTGGTACAGAGTGTTCTATTTCAAACTCTCGTGTAGATTACAGTCTTGTAATCAAATTAAAAAAAAAAAAACAACGTGTAATTAAAAGGTCAAATTTACTGATTAAGGACTGATGCCCAACCAGTTGCTGATTTTAGGACAGATCCACAGATGAACCAAGGCGAAGCAAGTAAATGTGTCAGAAGCAAGCTATCAGGAGCTGGTGACAGCAAGTGTAAGAGGGGAACATCTCTCCCCATTTCAGTCTTTTCTGGGTCATCAGCAGGAGGCTGGGCTGCGTTTGTGTGCACACTGTTTTATGTGAGAGCAAAGAGTCCAAAGGTGATAGGTGGACTGCTGGATGGGATGATCTTCCAAGTCTTTTCCAACCTTGGTGATTCTATGATATATATACACATATCTACATAAGGGAATGTGAAGTAAGTTTTCTCTCACAAAGGAACTGAAACTTCAAGACATAAGAAGCAATTTTATTGATAGGAATTTTTCAAAAAGCTTTAGAAATCTAAGGATGATAAGGATTTGTATGACAACTAGCTAAGGAGGATATTCTGTTCCCAAGAAGGCCGAAAAACAGAACCCTATCTGCTCTAATACCTACATCCACAAGTAGAAAGGATGCTTTGAAATGGAGAAAGTGTCAGCTTTAACAGACAACACGCTTCTTCAATAATCATTTACAGCAAGTGGATACCTTTGGCTCCGCTCCTCATTTCCAAAATCTGAAGAAATCAGTCTGGGACAGCAGAATGTTTGATGCCCCATCCCTGGAGACTTCCAAGGCAAGGCTGGATAAGGCCCTGGGCAATCTGATCTAGCTGTGGTTTTCCTGTTTATTGCAGGGAACTTGGACTAGATGGCCCCTGAAGGTCCCTTCCAACTCCAAGGATTCCATGATAATCTTAAGGGAGATACCACACAGGAGCTGACAGCCTGGGCAGCGACAGCAGCAGATGGCCAGGCGGTCTACTGAACCGAGCAGAGCACACCTCCACTTCAACCATACCTGACAGCTGCACAGTAAATGAACCACTTCTTCCCAAAACCAAGAACCTTCTGTGACTGCTAAGACACAAGAACATTCCTTCACTTTACATTATAACATCTCATACAGCGCTACAGTGCACTGATAATCAGCTATCGTGTGACAGAACTGTTTCACAGTGAAATCTGCATGTTAAATTCTGCTGGTTTAAAACTACAAATTGGAGATCAGTACAAGCATCAGGAGGAAAGCTGTTACTGTAAAGCACAGTATCATTATTACATGGTTGATTAAAGTACTTGCTTTACAAAACACTTCAGACATACCATTATCACACTAAAATGCACCACGTGGCACATCTTACTACATGAAACAAAGAAGTTATCAAACAGTTCCTGATAAAACCCTTTTAGGGGATTTAAAAAACAACGTGCTTCCTTCAAAACAGAGTATCATTCAACATAGCCGTAGATGGTACAACAGGTGGCATTTTCCAGGGAGCAGCATACATGAAGACGAAGAGTGGGAAAGAGAGAAGTCGTTACCTACCAGGAGAAACACACCCAATCGTCTACTTGCAAAGTGATACAATCTATCAGAAAGAACAGAGCACACATTTGGGAGGATGTTATGGAGACCAAGACTATCAATGCAACTAACATCTCTTCTAAAGTTGCGCTGTAATTGAAACATCCCTCACCAGACAAAAAATTGAGGGACTGAGACATTGGAATTTTTTTTCTTTTACTGAGCATCCCATGATTAAAGTATATTCACAGATATTTAAACAAGGCTCCCACATCACTGCTATGCCACATTCCATTAAAAAAAAAAAATCACAACCCATTGAACAGCATAACAAATGGGTTTGCCTGGTGAACTCAGGGAAGGTCCAGAGTGATGCTCTTTGTTTTCAGTTACCTTTCTTATTCTTGACTAAATAAAGCCCTGGGCAATGAGGGGGAGCAGAAGAATGATGTATGAATCATATGGGAAGAGTAATTCTTCACACAGGATTCTGTATTTGTACTCTAACACAACTAACATTTGACATACATAGAGCTGATGAAAACTTAGTTTCTCAGCCAAGGTATTTGCTTCCTAATTGTCTGAAATTATATTTGTTTCTTTAGCTGAGAAACATACATTTCTACTTACGGCTCTATAGCTGTGGAAATATTATGCTAAACTGTGTAATGTTTTCGGTTGTGTTTTCTCAAAACTTCAAGCTAATATAAAGAAACATCATTAACAACAGAAAGCGCAACGACTGCAGCTTGTTTTCTGAAAAGGAATAGAAAATTATGTAATGAATGAGTTGAGCTAATGCATTAAAAGTGACACGGTATAAATATGGATCACTCCCATGTTGTTTCTGCACAGTCATTTATCTGTCTGTACTCCATTCACTTGTGACACTCTTTTCAGTGGTTTTAATTCAGAATAAATTAAATCTTTGAAGAAGACTTTAAGCCTTGAGAATGTCTTTAAAAAAATATGGGTTTATACAGTTTTCCCAGTGCAGGTTGAAATATGACATAAGGCACTACTGCCCAAACACATCAAGGTTCTGAACCAAAAAGCAAGGCACAAGAATGGAAAAATAAGCCAGCCATAGCCCTTGTCATCAAACAAACTCCAGCACCTTTCCCATTCTTCTGTTTTACTCGCCTTAAAGTCCTTAAAGACTTGATGGCCCAAGTACATTCCAATAAAATTTTCTCTTCAGGAGCTTCTTGAGCAAAGGATGCACTTTGTACTGCAGTTTATATGTTCACACAACAAGTCAATGTTTCAGAGACAACACTTTCTCAAAGCCTCCATACAAAACTTTCAACTCTGGAAACACTGTAAATCTAATTGAGCACACCTGACAAGGCTGTCACTTAGCAGCAATTAACAGGTATGCCAGAAACAGAGCAAGCTGTGATACAGAACACCGTTTACTTCTTTAGAAGCGTGACAGCTACTTTACAACTCCATTAAATGCAAAGATGCGGTGTTCCCAGGCATGAAGCCTTCCCTTGCTGCCAACACCAGTTCTGCACGAGCACCCAAGCAAGCACGCTGCCTAGCCAGCCCTGTAATCACAGGCGTAAAGAAGAAAATTATAGGTATGGCACAAGATGCAGCACATCCCAGACAAGTAAATATCTCTGTTTTTGAGCACAGTACCACTTCAGCTACAGAAATGCCTGCGAAGCCCAGGTGTGCACTTGGAACCAAAGGCCCTTGAGAACTGAACGCAATACAGACCTCTTTTGGCAAAAGCCACCTTTTCTCCGTGAAACTGAGAAGTGGCAAAAGCCTCAATGAATTTTTTTTTTTTTTTTTTTTTTTCACAAACCAGTTAAGTGCAAACTTAGAACAGATGGATCTTTGAGATGTTGCATTGAAAACATACGTAAAATTTAGGAACAGCTTGCAAGGAAAGGACCTAAAAGGAGGTCCCAGTCAAGATAGCATGGAAAAACCAACTTCAAACACTGAGTGATGTTCTGTAGTAACAAGCATGTAATACTTCCTATTTTTAAAATGTGCCATGCAAAGTTACTCAGAGTATTCTTTTAAAAGCAAAAATTACAGCTGTGGAGGAAACAAAAGGGTGATCAGGAACAGGAAGGGTATTAAAAGAAACATCGGATGTTTTACAACTTCAGGAACCAGAATTTCAGGAGTCTGGAAGTACAAACAGCATCTTTGTAACTACTGCCTTCCTCCTTCCCAGCCTGAAGCCAGTCTCCTGGACCAACAGAAGTGCCATGCAATGCAGGAGTTCACCTGTTGCCTATCATCAGCAAATGATAAACTACATATACATATATGAGAAACCATGTTTGGTTTGGTTTTTACTTTTTTGTTTGTTTTTAAACCAATTACATTTATGATGCACAAGGAAAGTTCCAAAAGGAGGACTGTTGACACTCAAATCACTGCCTCGGTGATGAGAAAATTCTGATTATTCTTAATGCCGCCCCTAGTTGTAATACTTACTCTGTCTGCAAATTCAGCAGCAGCAGCCAAAGGCTCACTTTCTGTACCAAGGCACATCAGAAGTCACTGCCATGCTTTGCCAATGGCAAGGTGTAGGTCAAAAGACATGCATGAAGTTATACACACAGTCACTGCTCCTACCAACAGGGCACGAGGCTTTTTGTGAGGGGAGCTTTCCAAAAGAAGAGTTATTCACACCACTCAAAATGCATGCACAAGTTTTGCCATTTCCCTGCTTACTTCTGAGCACCTCAATTATCAATGTGCTCTGCTGTAGTTTTGTCATTTTGGGGAAGCAGTGAGGAACAGCCACATCACCAGCGAAGGCGGTCGCTTGCAATGCACAAAAACTTCTGTATGACCTCAGGTTTCTCACACACAGGGGTGAACCTCCCCCAGGCTGTTTTGTACACCATCTCAGCGTTCCTTGAAGGCCTGTGACTTTTCAGAGCAGTCAGCGCCCAGCCCAACGCTGGTACCACGTTCAATGAGGGCAGCGCCGAAGTCCCGCTGCTCGCAGCTCTCCTCCCACCACGTTCCGTCCCTCGGAAGCACGAAGCTCGGAGCGCACCACACGCATCCCCCACCCACGCTCTCGCAAACCCGGCCCTCTCGGCCGCGTGCAACGAGGAGTCTCAGCGGGCAGATGCCGCAGCCCGGCTTTCCACCCAGCCGGGCCCGCAGGAAAAGCCGGTTCCGAGCAGACGAGAGGCGGCTGGGTAGCGGCCGGCGTTACGAGCCCGTTCGCCCCCGGAGCGCCGCGATGGAGGCGCGCCCCACGGCTCCGAGCTCAGCCCGGCGGCCGGCGGGGACCCCTCCGCCCCCCGAGGAGGGCGCAGCCCCCGGCTCTGCACGCCCGCCGCCCCTAGCCGGGCCCACCCCGTGGCGGCGGGGCTCGGGGCCGCCCACGCGGCCTAATCCGTGCCCGCGGCGGGGCCGGGCAGCGCCGCAGCTCGGGCCGGTGCCTCCCGCCCCGCCGCCGAGCCCGGCCGGCACCAGGAAGCGGGGGAGCCGCCCCGCCGCAGCGCAGCGCGCCGCCTTACCCGCTGCAGGATCCGCCTGAACATGGTGGCGGGGCCGGGTGCCGCCGGGCGGTCGCGGCCACGCCGAAAGGAAACCGCGGGGCCCCGCTCAGCGCCGCCCCCGCCCCGCAGGAGCCCGGCGCGGCCCGCTCGCCCCGTGACAGCCGCGGCGGCCGGGAGGCGGGGCAGCCGCCGGGGCGGGACCGAGCCGCGCTGGGCAGCGCCCGCCCCGCCTCGGAGAGGGCCGGGCCGAGCCGGGCCAGGTCGGAGACGCCGTCGGGGGATGGAGCCGCAGCCCTGTTGAGCCTTCGCTGCCGGCGGGGAGCGGAGGAAGGGACGGCTGCTGGCGGGAGGCCCCGTCCCGCAGAGCTCTCCGTCCCGCCCGCTGCCCGCCGTGCCGGTTGTTGGGAATGTCGAGGGGCGCCGTGGTTTGGATAGTCAACTGGAAGCCGAACCTATTGGAAATGAAATTTATTCCTTATTGCTTCCTTAGAGCCAGGGGGAGGAAGAGCTACCTTGTGGCATAGCCGCTTAGATTCGCATTAAAATGTCAGAAGAGAATATTGTGCTCCCACACACATAACCGTCAAACACAAAATAGCCCCAAAACGAGCAGTTCTGTCCAGAAAGGGTCCAGTGCTGAGGCAAAACTCCTATGAGGCTTTTGGCAGGAGACCTGCAGGAACACTGATGTCCTCCAGCACGCAGAACTGAGTGCACTGCCATTTCCTGCCGGTTCTAAAGCTGCAGCTTTTATTTATTGAATGCAAGGCGGAGGGTCATGATTAAATAATGGACTGCTTGATGACTTACTGTGCAGGGCACAGCAGACGTTAGATGCCACTCTGCTACAATGATTGAAAACATTTCCACTCTGAAGCTGATGTTTTTAAGCACTCTAAAATCCAAGGATTTGGCGTGAGTTATGAGCACATGACGAGAAGGATTCAGCTGCAGCAGCCAAGACGTGAGGCACAGCAACATGAAGTGTCCCATCTGAGTTTCCCCAGCTCCAGGTCCTGGTGTTTTGTGAGATTGTTCCTCCGTTAGGGTACATAAGAGCGCACACCATGTAGGGTCATGGCTTCAGCTGTTGAGGGGTGACGTCTTTGGTCACATCCATCAGATCACTTCCATTTTTGTGTCCATATATGAAGCAGCTTTAAAATACTCTGCACTGTGTGGCACTAGCAAGGTCTGTATTTGAATTTTCTGCATGGAATTAACAATGGGAGGAGAGTTTTCTTGCTGTACTTTGCAATATGCTTTGTACTCTCTCCCAGGTTAGCAGTTCCTGAGTGCTTACAGTAATGTTGAGGATTCTGGTAAGAAGTCTTACATCAGAGGAGGATGTTCTTAAACAAGTCCTGTAAGGAAATGCACAGTGCTGTATTTCTGTGGATGTTTCTGTGGATTTATGCACTTGTCTCTCTGTTCCCCATCATTTCCTCAGTGACTTCTGGATCCATTGGCCAATTTCCATCAAATATCACTGTGCCAATTGAGGCTCAGAGGCAGTGAGCTCCTACAGATTTAAGCAGGTGCCCAGGAAGAGAGAGAAACCTTTCGAATTCCCCTGTAAAGGAAAGACTGCAGTGTGATCACCTTTGCTAAACACCAAGAATGAACATAAGAATTCACCTTTGGGGCAGACATGTAGGAAAAAAAGATTTCATCAGTCCCATGTTGAGTGGAATTCCTTACTTTTAATTATTATGTGTATGTTAATGTCTGTGAGTTCATATGTGCAGCACAAATATTGAAATCACATGCTGTTTAAATATGGTTTATGCCTTCAGGCATGGGAGTTGCAAATTTGCATTTCATCCAACCTCGTAAACTTTGTGAGGGCTTTGGCACCTTTGTGTGTAGCCTATTGCTGACAGTCTTGGACTAAAATCATGGCAGAGACTTTCTTGGGCATTCCATCTGGAAAGCGGGTGCTTCGTCCTCTGAACATAAGTCACCGGCTCAGTCTGAACCATAGCAGCCTCTCACACACCATTAGCTGCAGAAATCAGCAGACCTGCATTTCAGTAGACAATCAAGATCAATCTTCGGACTGAATAAGCAGTATTCAAAATGGCCCAGCATGCAGCAGCACCTCCCAGGCCTTCCAGCAGAGCACTGCCTTTTTTTTTTCTCATTGTTATGCACATATAAGCCCATAAAAAACATGATTCCTGCTCCGTGGCTCACAGAAAGCTGTGCCTGTGTAATCTTCTGCCATCACTGAGGGCTCTAAGGAGTCACCATCACTTCAAACAAAATGACTGGGAAAATAATATGTGGTGTGTCAGTATTGCATGTACATAGACTTGTGGCCTGTACATTTCCAAATATTCTGCACTGATGTCCTGCATGTTATCAGTTTTTGTATGGATAATTGTTTTCAAAAGGCTGCCCAGAGAAGCTGTGGGTGCCCCATCCCTGTAGGTGTTCAAGGTGAGGTTCTGGGCAGCCTGATCCTGTGCTTGGCAGCCCTGCCCATGGCAGAGATGTTGGAACTGAATGACCTTTAAAGCCTCTTCCAACCCAACCTATTCTGCAATTTCTGTGATTCTGTGTTTTTTTGTCCCATTTTTTTCAAGTTGTTACTTTTAGGTTTCTTATTTACAAAGGGTATTAGAAGTCTCTGTGTTTTGGGTTTGGTTGGGTTTTTTTGTTTTGGTTTCTTGTCTTTTTTTTTCCTTCCTAGCTCTTTAATTGTACATTTATGACTGTCACTTTATGTTCTTCATTTATTTTTGGCAAATGTCTTGCAAATTTATCCGCATCTTTTTCTGAGGCTCTCCTGCGTTGAACTCTATGAATTGAACACACAGAACAGATGGTTTAAAGGATTTGTGTGTTGAAAACCATGATGGCTAGCAGGTGAAAGTAATATGTCAAGAATCCACATCAAAAACCATGGAACAGGCAAATAATAAGATTAAAGATTAGGAGTATTAAAAACTTGCCAACCATCTATCTTCAAGATTAAGTAAGTGCAGAACTGTAAGTCATAGGTAAACAATACATTGTAGGTTATAATGTTGCTTAAACCACAAGAAAACATGCATCAGGAATTTACGGATTCCCCCAAATGGTTCAGGAGTACATATTCCATATACAATAGAGGTTTGTGTGTTCCTAAATCAAATAATCATTTTGGCAAAACACCTACTGAGAACTGCCATTTAAGAAAGTCGTGGATGGACTAATGGAGATTTAGGAAGGAGAAAACTACCTTGAAAAAGAACTTTTCAGCTACTGATACTCTAGTCTTTCACTACAGATATTCACAAACAAAATATGCAGAGTGCTGTTTGAATTTATGTTTCCTTCATTTTGCTGAGAAACTGCACTTAAAACTCATCATTCCTGGAGTTGGCACCAATCATAGAATCACAGAATCATAGAATGGCCTTGATTGAAAAGGACCACAACGATCATCCAGTTCCAACCCCCTGCTGTGTGCAGGGTCACCAACCAGCAGACCAGGCTGCCCAGAGCCACATCCAGCCTGGCCTTGAATGCCTCCAGGGATGGGGCATCCACAGCCTCCCTGGGCAACCTGTTCCAGTGAGTCACCACTCTCTGAGTGAAAAAATGACCAATGCCCTTAAAGAGACCAATGGCAGAAAACAGCTAAGAGAAGTCCTTGGTGAAACTCATGATGTGGAGAAATGTGTTAGACAGCTGGGCTAAGACATTGACAAGACTCACAGTACATCAAAAAGTAATTTTAACAGTGACACATGAGACATTTGCACTGTGGTCAGACCACACGGGAGCTCCTGTACATCAGCTTGACTTGCTAATCTTTCCAGTAGTATAAGTGTGTATCTCTTACCTCTACCTAGTCATCACTTTTGTCACCAAACAAAAAAATGTAACCAACTTTGAGACATGTCTCCCTCGTTCAGTTTAGACTCAAACTGCCCCATGGGTTCCAAAGGTGCATAGTGGGGAGTTGAAAGTCACAGGATGTCACCTCTGCCTCATCAAGGAGCTAGGCCAAACCTATGGGGTGGTTATAATCTGTGTTTGAGCTGTTCATTGATCTTTCCTGACCCATTCCTTTCTCACACCAGTGAAAATTAACAGCTCTTCAGTTCTTAACTTCAGGTACTGAAGAAGTTGGCAGCTCATCAGTACTTCAGCCTGCTTGTGCCAGGCTGAGTGCATTCCCTCAGCTGCTTCAGAGCCAGGCTGAATCTATAGTGATGTCTGTAACAAAGATATGACAGCTACAGGCCAGGTCCTGTGCAAAAGAGAGACTCCTTCAAGATTGTGTAATCGCTCGTATGAGTAACAAGTGGGTGTACTAATAAAGATTGCACTACTAATACCAAATTCTGGAGCTCAAATTCATGCCTAGAACCTGGTGTTAGAGAACTTGAATCTTGTTGGATTTGCACAGCTATCCCCAGTTAACCCAAATTGAAGTCATAAATAATAGAATAATCTCTATACAGAAGAAAAAAAAAACCAGAGCAGTAGTTGATTTCGTTTCCCATTCCCCAAGACAGTGAGGACTACGCCACGTAGCTTCGTTGGCTTAAGTGAGAATTATATATGAGTTCATGTAAAAAATAAGCCCAATATTAATATAACCAGAATCTGAGATGGAGAAGATCTGCTGCTGAGTCATGCAGAACGCTCTGCCAAATGCCTCAGCTAAGAAATTATTCTGCATCAAGCTGAAAGCATGCCACAAAACAAAGACTTTCAAATTCCACCCCAGAAAGCTGCAGTGATACCACCGGTCACGTCACTTCAAGGAGATGCTGGCACGTTTCCTGGGCAGTTTCAAGTGGCACGAAAATGGGTAAATTAGAAAAAGAAAGGGGATTGGTGGAGTTCCATTGCAGAGTAAAACATAAATATTTCAAAGAACGTATATTTTGAGGTTATCTGCTCACTTTCGTTATGTGCTTTTACATATTTATATATAATTTCTCTTTTTTTGGGTCTCAGACAAAAACTTCTCTCCATTATTCTAGGCACTTTTGAGGCCATTTCAAAGATTTTTCAGCAAATTACTTAAAGTTCCAAATGAAGCAATCAGGGCAGCCCTTAGCCACGTAGATTATAGGAGATGCCACTACTACTGATCATTTAAATAAATCTTATTCAGTCTCTTCTAGTTACAGCTGAAAC